TCATTTTCAAAAGGTAGTCCACTAATAGGCGATACTGCGTAAGCAGTGAGCGTCTGGGTTATCAGAAGTTCATATGCCCACCTTCTCGTCACTTAGATCCCTACAGTCGTACTTGCCATCACACTTCTTGGACATTTCGAAACACTGTCGTCCATCTGCGCACATGAAGACGCTGCCATCGTTGCTGTCACAATTCACCGGATTAGCTGCTGCAAAATAAAAATCTGCTAAATCGATGAATATTCCGAAAATTTCATGATATAGCTGAGAGAAGACGTTTGGAAGACGTAGGAGCATCGAAAAGAAGATAATCATTATTCCAAAATTACTTTTACAAAACATTTAATCTGATAATGTTCAAAGGCTTATACAGTGATGTGAAAAACTGTAAAAGAAGAATATCACTGAATACTTACGGCAATCCTTCTCATCGGATCCATCGGCACAATCGGTGATGTTGTCACATCGCTGATACTCGGCAATACATGAGACACTGTGCCATTCATACTTGTCACATTGCCATTGATCGGCTTTGCAACCAGGATGAGCTAAAAATCGTAGAAGTCATTCAAATTACAAAAAAAATCCAAATGACAAAAGTAATGAAGGCCGAATGTGGGAACGCAGCCTGGGAACGTAGCGGACAACGTAAAAGTAAAAGATTATGTTAATGGTAACGCTACTATGAGTAAGTTAATAATAAGTTGTTTAGAAAACAGAAAAAACACAAATAAATATAAAAACATTAGTGAAGGATGAAGAAGCGAGAAATCGTAAAGTTGATCCGGGCGCTAAAAATCGTGGCCGACTCTGCCTGCGCGCCAAGTGTGACGAGGGACTCGTTCTACCGCGCGCAGAAAACGCCGCACGCCGAACGCGGAAAATTCGCGCCGCCGCACCTCAAGAAGGGAGTAAGACGAAATCAGTTTTCCCTTCTACAGATTCGTATGAAAGCAGAAAAAAGTCTGAGAAATTAGATCTTCGCTGAATTCTCAAATAAAATCATTCACAAAAATACACAAATGATAATTACCGCCCGTGAGAAAAACCAAAAAATAGAATAAAAACGTGCACATTTTTCATGATGAAAACGAGAAACGAATGAGAATTTCCGGATCACTTTTTATTGTTACAGTGTGATCGCAATGATCGCAGAGAAGTCATCTCCCACACTTACTGCACAGCTCTCACCAATTTGCACCAGGCAAAAAAAAATTGAACTTTCAATTATTATGCAGTCCGTGGAATTCCAATGACCCATTACAGGTAAAATAGTTTTTTTACTACCTACAAAATTCGGAACATTATTTGTTTTTTGAAAATCCATCTTGTAAATGCTTGAAAAGGTTCCTGAGTTATGTTCCCTCATAAGTTTGTACGCGTGCACCAGACTGGTCAACATCAATTAATCCTCAAACATTGGCCGCATTTGCGGCACATTACAAACACACGATTTTCTTCCATCTTATATAGAGCCGGAACTCACATGGATATTCGTAGCCCCAGAGAGTGACAAAGCCGTAAAGGATGAATATTCTTCCAAAAGTTCATTACCTCACGATATAGTAGCTTCAAGTACAACCTACTAGTTGGTATGCTTCGAATTTCTAAGGAGAAGGTGATACAAATGGTGACAACTCAAATTTTTTGACCAATCCGGTCAAAAACTATAAAAAAAGCTTTCTGAAAGCCATAGAAACCTTTTGTAGGAACTTTTATTCAAACCCATCGTCCATTGATGACTTTGTCCAATTACTGGTCTTCTATCTTATCGATCAGGTATCGAAAAGAGAAGTAAGTGCTCTACAAGAGCAAATAGACCTTTTCTCTAGGTCTACATCCAGGCTATTTTGCAGTTCCCTGGAGACTAAGGGGAATTCGTTCGTATGGATTAGGACGGGCGGCAATCATCGGCTCAGGAAGTGCTTGACCTTACCAGGTGCAGCGCAAGCAGAGTGGCTCAAGAAGCGATTACGGAAAATCGAGAAGACCGAGAAATCGAGGTTTCTGATTTCATCAAAGCCAGCTGGGACCTATTTGGAAAGCTGTAAAAGTTAGGTAGATGAAGACCAGACAAGGAAAGGAGCAAACTCCCTAGTGAAAACCTCAGGAAGTCACTTATTCGGTGTCACCTCCAGGAGACCCATCTCTTGGTGATGGAGGTTCAACTTCATTCACAATTAAGGCAGTGAAAGTAAGCCTACACAATCAGTATTAACGAGTGCTACAGTCTCCCACGATTACTTCAAAGTAATCTTGCTCTTGCCTAGTTTATAATCATTGGTACGGTAGGGGAAGCGGCAATCGTAGAGGTTATTAGGCTTAGCATCAATTCGGTTGATTAGCCCTTCATACAAGGAAAACCCCTCTCAGATTAGTCCGACTAGTTGAAGGAGTAATTGTCCTGCATTAATTTATCTCTTTTTTGTGGAATACAGGCTCCAGTGAAACTGAACACTCAGTCGGCTAGCACGAGATTTGATCCATGGGTCGTGCAGATGCCAAGTTGTACTACGTTAGTGCCTTTTGGAACAGTTAAGGCTCCCTCTCAGGAAAGATCTATGGTGTCTTTACCTTCCCATGGAATGTGCACAACAACTCATAGCGACCGTTCCCACTGTCGGTATTACACTGTCCCTCACAATGTGACTATTTCAATGTCAGAGCTTCTTATCATAATCAACTGGTTTAGTTATCATCACGTAAGGTTTCTACGTCACCAAACATTGGTATCAGAAGTCAATCGTGCTCTTTAATGTCTCTTAATGAATGTGAAATTGAGTATAATCTCTAGTAATATGATCAGAGTTTGAAAGTCTTTTGAAAGTTACGGAACGTGCATGTGGGTCGAGCTGCTATTGGAAATATGCCGAAGGAATATTGAAAACTCTAAAATTTAGTTGATTATTGAAATTCAGTGATCAGGGGCCTTTCAATTCCCTTCTGAGACCATATTATTTTGTCTGGTTTCCACAACCGTTTCACCCATGTGAAGTCTCAGAATGATCCCACTTTTGGGGACAAAAGAAGGTAACCGTGTGGATTCTATTCTAACATAGTTCGCCCTTAGTATAGGGCGAATTTGCGCCGAAAACTTCTCGACCACCATGAATTGAAGGGTCTAAACTATTCGTTCAAGCCGCCATCACATAGGACCAAGAGATGAAATGTTATATTTTCCATTTCAACTTTATTCGTTTATACTTTGTCCAGTGATCAACTATTACCCTATCTATCGGTGCCCCGGATTACCGTAGCAAAGCCCCAAAAACATATTTACATATAATTTAATAAAGTCCGAATTTGCAACAGTTATTGTCAGCTCGTACAAATTGCAGGCAGTTTGTGCCCTGCTTATCTCAAACAACTTGGTGCAAAGGTTCGGTTGGCCCGGGTGAGTATCGGACCGGGATTCGATACTGGGATTATACTATTTGTGGGATAGTGGTCCACTCAAACTCACCTCCGCCCTTTTTTCATGTAAAACACGATGGTTCAACTTGGAAAGATCTCATTGCTGCTATCAGTCATACTTATTTCTAATTACAATAATTATCCACTCTTCGAGGTCTTCAAGACATTACTAGCCTTTCTTTTCCCTATTGATCGCTTCCGTTACTTCACAAAACCGTACATTACAGCTTGTTACAAAGGAAAAAAGACGGACGTTACGGTGCCTTGAGTGACATTTTATGTCCAACCGGAAAACTTCAACGCTATTTTCTGATGATAGGGTTTCTGTGTAAAACGAGATTCGTACCTGAACTACTTTCAAACCATCTAGACGTTACAACGTTTGAATTATCGCCGTTAAATGGGGCTGTAAAACTGCTCGAAAACCATTTCGAAAACGCTCTTTGCCTTACCTAGCACCCTGTCTGTTCTGACGATTTCTGATGCACTTCTACAGAATCGAAAGAAAAGAAGTAAGTGAAAGGCAATAAATTATTACAACGATTTTACATTACAGTTAAACGATCTCTTTTGGTGCACTTTCTTTGGTAAATGGGTCCTGTTTGGATTTCAACATTTCATACAGGCATTTGCAACTTTTTCAGGGTTGCAATCAGACGGGACGCTGGACTAGGCAATTACGATCATTTTCAGCAAAAACCACGTCACATATGATTTCTCAGATGGCATTGGATCGATACAGTGTTAGACAGAATGACAAGACAATCTGCCCTCGGGATGCGCCACGCATTCGACTTGCAACCAAGACTGTCAAGGTGTTTGAATGCTTGGTTCGTTTATACATGAGCATCGATAACCTGTATTGTTCTCTAGGGGGAAATCTTGGCAGTTCAACGATCTTAATGCCATGAAAAGCGGAGAAGGAGGGGGTAAAGCACTGGATATGACATGGGTTGGCCACGGCAAGGCATTGTAGGCCACATACGCACTGAAACCGCCACTGCATACGATTCAGAATGGAAGCTGAATGCGGGAGACCAGAAACGGGATATATTAGCTGTAGGGGAGCTCTAATCAGCAAAATTGGTATCCAGAAAGTATAGGATGAGGTTTGAGAACCTACGAAGCCTGCGACTTTGTTTACGCCTGAGGGCAGCTTCGCGACAATAAATTTGCACTACCTGCGAGCCCTGAAGAAAACGGTCCAACTCTTGAAATTGTACAAAATATACAAAATATAAAAAACAAAACAAAAAATATAAATTAAAAAAAATAAAAAAAATAAAATAGTAACAAAGATAAGATATATATAGGAACGAATTAAAAGCCAAAAAAATATAAGGAAAGTATGAGATAAAATTTGGGGCTGAAAGGGGGTATTGAAACGTATATATAGTGTCCAGATGTTGATTAATCGCGAGAAATTTTAAAAAATTCATAGAATGAAAACTTACGACAATCTTTTTCATCTTCACCGTCAGAGCAGTCCCCAGATCCGTCACATCTGAAACAGTCATATTAGACCGATTAGTTCCAATCCAGATGTCAAATACGATTTCTCACAGTCTAACTGAAACCTCGTAATCGTTTATGAAGGATCGCATAATTTATCGAGAACACTCTAATATGGAACGGTACGACCTCAATTAGGATTGAAAATATTTCTCATTTGGTAAACTACCTTTTCTAAAACAGGAATTTTTTTGATTTTTACAAGTTCACGACTGATCAACAGTCACAACGGTGGACACTGTTCCAGGGCTCTTTGATGTTTAAGTCAATGTATTTGCTAAATCAGAAAAATAAATCGAAAAATACGAATCAGAAAAGCTCAATACTGACCTCCACTCTGCCCGTATACATTTGCCGTCGTTACACCGGAAGTCTGTTTCGGTACAGACAGTTGAAGCGCTATTCACTGAGGCAGAAAGTGGTTGTGAACGCGTTCGAGTGGAGATCGAAGGAGGCGAGTCGACTGAAATCAAGCACAATGGTTCTGTCTATGACTTCGAGATTGGTTGAATGGTATCACCCTTGAATAATTTGAAAGTAGATTCAGTAAAAGGTATAGAAAGTAATAACTAGTCGATAATATGTATCTAGTGAGTTTCATTTTGAAAAAGCAGACTACAACACTATCACATCGATGGAGGCGAGTTGAAATATCAGCAGAAGTATTACGACTACGAAGATAACTAAGTGATATTGCTACAGCCAAGTTGCGGACGCAACTCACGAAAGTTGCGCGTGCAGTCGCGGAGCGGTACGCCGACCTACTAGACGTTTGACGCTGGCTCATCAAAGTTCCGTGCCACCGGGCAAATTACTACTTTTAGCTTCAGAAAAAGCCTCCTTACATTTTACTCAAGAGGTGCTTCGGAGATGACGGGATTTTTATGAAGATTCGCCGTACACAGCCATATTAATTGATAATCGATTGAGAGGTTTACAATTAACAATCGTCCTAGCCATACTGCTGATTACCTCGGAATGTGTTTTTATTCAATCCACTTTCGATCACGACAATGTTAGAGCGGAACAGACAAAAGCCAAATTCAGTGCAGTCCGAATTTCTACCCTAATCCGTTTTCTGGTAAAGCGCTATCAGCCAGACGTACAAACGTCATATGTCGTCAAATGAGGTGTACAATTTGCTCATCATGAAGAATAGTAGGATTACGGTAGTAAAGAAGACCCGTACTGTATTTCGTTTTCAACTGAATATTTCCTGAGATAGAGCGAGTGCTTCACTCGTGATGCGGTGATCCGTAGCCCTATGTCACACTTATCAATTCGCAAGATCAAATTCGGTCCAGGACAACCGATTGTTAAGCAACTCGAGAGCCTGACATTGAACTTCAGATACATTTTCATTTACAAATGGCTCAAACTTGAAAATCGATAAACTGAATTTCTAGCCCGTATATTCACTCTAGTAGGCGAAGAAGCTGCCAAGGGAAAGCTAGCAGAAAGGCATGTACCCTAAAATTCCATAGATAAAAGCGGTTTAACTTACCGGTGAAAAATGAATTGGAATGAAATTGAAATTGAATGCAGTCACCCCTCTAACTTGATGGATGGATAAAT